AATGTGGAGAAAATCGACTTTAAAATTTTTATTGGTTTTTGACGAAAAAAATTACTTACACATTATTTTTCGAAAATAGATGAATTAAAATAAATTCATTATCACGATTCTTATACAACTAATGAAATGGAAGTTATTATTTTATTACTATTTATTAAATAATCAACATTTTCCCTTTCAAAGTAACAACAAAAATTAACTAAAGTTATTAATATTACGAATAAAGGGCATAATTAACCAATTGCGACTTTTCATTCTGACATTTTGGGAAAAAATATGAAATATTACAATGAACAGGCATATTTATTAAAATGTGCCTTTTCTTTTTAATAATTATACAAAAAGAAACAGGTAATAAAACAATTAGGAAATAATTTCAATTTTTTTATTTTAAAAAGGTAACAAAAATTATCGTCTCATAACTTTAAAAAATTAACATTTATTAACTGAAATTAGCAGTCTTCAAGAAACTTATTTGTTTCTTTTTAAATCACAGTCAGATTATTAAATCAACTTCTAAAAGTCTTATAAGAATGTTTGTTAAATATGGCACTTTTAAGGTTATCACAATTACAATCACTCTGGCCATGCCATGCCTACAAACTACATTAAAATTATCAAAATAGGAATAAACGCAAATTCAAAAATTAAAGGACAAACCTTCATCAAGGAACTTAGGTATTAGCTTCTTATTTTTTTATAAAAAAAAGGATATTTAATCAGCCACCTTTTTGAACAATTCTAGAATAAACAAAAAAAAACTATTTAAAAAATAAAAAAAACCCTAGGTACATTATTAAGTAATTAAAGTTATCACAATCATCAAGGCACTTATAACTAGTCATTCAAAATGAGTAATTTAATAAAACAATCAGTCTTCATGAATATGAGTTAGATCAGCTGAGCCGTCATTTACGGGTAAGCTTTCCCAAAAATGCCTTCGATTAGCAGGCATAAGTGGTCCAAGTTTAGTAAGTATAGCAGATTTCCTTTCGCTCGTGATGCCCCTCGGAGTATGTTTTTGGCGTGGTGCTGGAATACCTTGTTTAAGATCTTTCAACCTAAGGAAATCCAATTCAAAATACTCATCAGTTCCATGGCTATTTTTGTAAAATAATAAATGGCCACCCCTGCGAAAATTAGCCTCGACAATATCATTCAAATAAGCTCGAGGGTTGGAATTTTTCAATTTGAATGTTGAGGAGCAGTCTTCAAAATCAAAAAAATCTTGAATAATCATCTTCTTTACTATTGTGCGAGAGCCAGTATCAGATACAGCTTTGCAGAAATCCTCAAAGTCGTAAACACGTTTCTTTGTTTTAAGAGATCGTTCCACTCTGTGGTGGAATTCATCAGCAGCCATGAATGTATGACCAACTTCTAAATACCGCAAAGTAATACTTTCAAAACTAACTTCGGCAGAGTTTATCAGATATATCAAATAAGAATAAAGCGTCCAATTTTTATTTTGTGCTGCACAGTTATCAAGCCACAAAATTACGTGCTTTAGGTCTCGGTTTTCTATAAAAAAAGCTCTGAAGCAACTTACAATGTCCTCTTTTTTTCTGCCAGACGTTCCTTCGTGCCATAAAACAGCAAAAGTGTGACCAACTTCGTGTATTTTTTTGTCTCCTAACGGCACAAAACTCTGGTTGAAAACAATAAGCCGCGGGCAGAACATCACGGTTTTGAATTCATCCATGCGGGGTAACATAATAACTTTTTCCAGGTCTACAGCAAAAATAATAGTATCAGCATTATTCTTTTTCTGAGTCTGATTATCAGCATCTTCTTCATACTTCTTACGAGCTAAAATGTACTTTTCGTGATGTTTTTCATAACTTTTACATGCTTGACAACCTCTGTGCCTAATTTCTGAGTTAGGGTTATGAATTGTAAATTTTTCGCACTGCTCACACTCTTCGTGGCCTAATTTGGCAAATGAGATATTAAGTTCCTTCACAAGTTTTCTGTAAAAACCGTACGATACTTTCGTTTCAGGCTCATTTTCACAGTAGTGGTCATACATGATTCGAATACTGAGATCAGAAGGCAAATACTTTTTGTTAGGGGCATGTTCTCGCCTGTAATGGGACACAGCAGGACGGAATGACATTATATGCTCAATGATTTTAGTATTATCTAATTTCCTTGGATTTGGGTTGTGTCCGCGGCCATCAATGAGGGATTCTGGGTACGATGTATTATTCTTATTATCAAGAACATTTCTTACAGCCTTACAATTATTTTGGTTATAGCCTAGGGTGGTTAAGAAAAATGTTTTGCATACTGGAATTTTATCACCATTTTCGTCTGCCAAAAAATATGATATGGTTTTAGATCGTATGTAATGTTTACCATTTTTGTCATTATTTCCTATGTCCTTTGGCCTATCCGGTTTTCTTTGACTAGTATGACACAAAAAGAAGTATTTTTGTTCCATCCATGACATTTTTCGAAAATTGTTATTCACTACTTTGCGATACTCTTCTGAAAAGTGTGCTGAACATTTTTTTTTGCAGACATCCTCGCGGCAGCCTGGTTTTACAAAATATTTATTTCTTATTTTTTCCTCCGCCTTCAGTCTCTTCCGATCCTTTATGCTAACGTTATAAGTTTTGCGCTTTCTAATAGTTCCTTTCTTAGTCAGCTGAACATGGTTGGTTTCTTCATCTTCTGATTCTGCCGGTGACTCTAAAATTGTTTTTGCTGGTAATGGCTGCGAGCATGGTATAAAGTCTTCTGAGTCAGTCCCATCTGTATCGCTGTTTTTTTCCCGTACTTTTGGTAATTCATAATTTTTATCCAATACTGAGTCATCAGAATCAAAATCAGATTCTGTATCTAACACAGATAGCGGTGCCACAACATGTTCCGAGCTTGATGCTTGCACTGAGTGTTGAACGCCACCACTGGTTGACGGCTCGGGAGACCATTCGCCTACACCTTTATCGTTGCGTAAAGCAGCACTAACTAATCTTGCGCTTCGTGATTGCATATTGCTGAAAAAAGAATGAAGACTTTGGTAAAAATGACCTGGTAGTATAAATCCAGTAACAATTATTATTGCGCGTATTCTAAATTATTTACGACTAGTGACCCGCCCCGGCTTCGCACAGGTGCAATGCCCACTACTTAATGGATGTTATTATACACCTTACACTTCAATCACTCTATCTATTAAAAAAAACCCCATCAAAATCCGTTGCGTAGTTTTAAAGATTTAGCGTTTTATACTATGTAGTGATTAGGTAGATACCTACTAAAAATTTCGTTATATTTTTTTACTAAATTGCAATTAATCACTCAAAAATGTAGCCAATAAATACGAATACATTATTATATTCATATTAATGTGTCACAAAAGAAGTTTAATTTAATAAAAACACGCAAATATGTAACAAAAAATCTTACCAGCGCAGCACAGACAAACGTGGACTCGTCGTGACACGTCGGGCACAACTGGCGCGTTTCAATCAAACCCTGCCCTCCTTTCCTCACCCCTGATCGTAAAAAAATTAAAGAAAAGGCACAACTGGTTATTTGTGCCTTTTATACGTAAATTAATTCAGCCATGCATGGATAATTAATTAAGTAGACAGGGCACATCTGGTATTTGAGCCTTTTCTTTATGTTATGCTGTAAGTGTGCCTTTTCAAAGTAGTTTATAGTAATAATCTGTATGAAGTAATAGTCACATCTACGTATTTGTGCCTTTTCAATATAATGGTAAATAAATGTGCCTTTTCATTGTATAAAACATGAATATTAGTCTCATTTGTGCCTTCTGAACCTACTGTATCTCCGAATTCACTGAAGATAAAATTCTATAAAAAATTGAGTAAATGTGCCTTTTTTTTCTGATTCTAAATATGTATATAACTCAATTTTGTCAAAAATGTTAGTTGTGCCCTTTTTTCTTACGACGGCAGTAATCATCTCAAACAAAAGTTCAACCTTAAAAAAAACACGACAAAACATGAGATCAACAACGATATAAGAAGGAAAACTTCACCAAAAAAACTTTACCTGTTCTTCGGTAAAATAATTATACTTACAGACTTATTACACGTAGCTATCAAGTTCCACATATTGTACTAACTTTAACGTTACTGGCAACATTCTTCAGTAACAACTGGCAACACTGAGTTTAGGAGAATATGTTTCATATAAATACTGATATTAATTATCGGGGATAATATCATGTAGCGTTGGTGAAACTTTTAATTAAGCCGTGTTATATTTAATGTTTGAAAATTTTAATCAACGATTACATGTACAATATGTATATGTAAATATTAATTAATAGGATGTTGGCTTATCTCTACATAGTATGAAACGAAGTCGCTTTGTATGCCCGAGTATGCATACATCTTCAAAACTTTGCAAGGAAATTTGATGTAGTTTTGTTAGTAGATAGAGCGATTAAAGTGGAAGGTTTATATGTATAATAACAACTATTAAATAGTGGCGAAATTTGGTATCAGCATGGCATCCGTGCGGAGGCTAGTGTAGATATAGCTTGCTTCTGTCAGCGATTTCGTTGGGACAAAAAGGTCATTTACTTTTGTGTTTTTACCATTCTCGTGGTACTTAAGGGAAATCCTTTCTCCTTTAGGTGTTTACTTACGCCACCCAAAGAATACAGGTATAGCTTGAACAGATTATGCTCAGTCCAAACTACAGCAGGACCTCTTTTTTAATCTATAAATGACTTCACTCGCTCAGGATGAGGCGAACGGGATGGTCAGCGTCTTAATGACTAAAACCTACCCTGCTCCTTCTCCTGATCCAGGCCAAGCCCGCTGTACTTTATTGCGCTTGCCCCGCAACAAGGTTCCAAGGTTGTATCGTTAATTGTTAAGAATAATAATCAACTTTTGCATTTTGGTAATTATTTTCAGTCAACAGTGCAAGACTTACCTGGTGTTAAATAAGAACGAGTCTCTTTGCTTTACGTCACCGAATATTAGCGGTCGCGATATTATTAAAGACAGTAATAAAAAAAAACAGACAAATTTATTTTTTAGGTAGTCGATGAAATTTTATATTGTTATAGTTCTTCATGAGCGACATCGACGATATTTATAGGTTCTGCAGGTTCTTTGGGTTCTACAGATTCAACGATAGCTTCTAAAGGATCAACAGGTTCAACAGGTTTTGGTTCTTCAACCTCTACAGTATCTGCTGTGCCTATAACGCCATCTACCGCCATCTGTGAGTACTTTTCCAAGAAGTCTTCCCAAAACTTCTTCCTCTCTCCCAACGGATTGGTCTTCATGCGGAGTAGCTTCGTGACGTGAAGGTAGTTGGTTTCTAGCTCCTTGCCAATGGGCTTCCATGAAAATCCCTTTAGAACTTCGTCGTCTTTCGATGGTGTGGGGTTTCTGTAATTAGAAATGGAAATTTTGTTCTAAGTTTTGCATGTATTGAAGGTTAACACGAATTATTTGGGATAAACTAAGAAAAAAGTTGGGGTAGACGTCTTCTGAGTGGAGGCCACGTTTATGCAAATGTATTGAAGAGCACCTTCCAGCTAGGTGGATTGACAAAATTCGTAAAGTGGCTGGCAGAGTTTGAAAATCCAGCTCAGTGGCATGCGTTTGGAAAGACTTATACCCTGCAGTGGACGGAAACAACTTGATGAAAACGATGAAATAAGTTGTTCATCTTTTCGATTTTGATGTTGAAGTTTTTATCAGATTGTATTAAATATCAAGCTCAAGAGGTACTGATGGCATAGAAAAAGAAAAGTTGAAAAAGTCAGCCAATAGTTAAATATGTGTGAACGTAACGACAATCTAATTTTACTGTTTTATTTACTTGAAGTATATTGATGTAAAAGATAATTATATAAATAAGAAATAAACTTACAATTGAATCTCAAATTTTTGGATAACAATTGCGACTTTTAATTTATATTGATTCTCTTTAAGAAGTAGAGTAAACTTTTCATTAAAATGTCTTTAACTTACCTTGTTCTGGCGAAATTGCTCCACAGACGGACCATTTTCTTCGTTACTTTGAGTTCGTTTTGTTCGCTTGGCAGATTTAGCATCTGCTCATAGCTCTTCTTTATACGTGAGCAAACAAACAAGTAACATATCTCATCTCCCACCGTGGCTCCATGGTGGCCCATGGTTGTCCTAGCTTGAGCCATAATATTCTGACTATTTTCATTCCACTGACCTCTGAAGTCAAAAACATAATAAAAGACCGGAGAAGAAAGGCTTTCAGCGAGCTTATGAGCAGTCAAATCTATCGGGTAGTTTTGTAAACAGTCTGCAACATACACGGCATACTCTAGAAGATTCCCATAATGCAAGGATTTATCTGCCAAATAAAAATTAACTATGTCCCTCCCAGCTTCTTTGTAAGGCTTACTATTCTGTACGAATCGGAAATTAGTCCTTATTGGAAGTTTGAGGATGTGCTTCTCAGCATCGTCGGTTAAGAATCTCGGTTCAATAATCAAATTAGAAATGATATCAAGTCCTTCTCGGGAATTGAAACCAATTATAACAGGTACGTCATTAACGATCTTACTTTTCTCTGGTAATTCTTTAAGAACTGCATCTTCTATACCGTATTCAATTGTAGGTGCAAAAGGAAAGTTACTAATCTGATATTGGTCTATATACGTAACATCTATGGTGTCAACTTCGGCAAGTAAGATTTTTTCAGCGTCTATTTTTTGAAGTTCTTTTAACAATTCCTCACTGTTTGCTGCAGTAATATTCAAAGCAGCTCCTAGATGGAATGCTTTCTTCTTAGGCTCTTTGTAGAAGTACATAGCTTCTAATGCTGTTCCACTTTGAAGTATGGCACCTGAGAAAAGGCCTTTAGCTTTTTCAGAATAAAGTAGAATATCAGCGAGAGCAGCACCACCTCGGCTGCCAACAATAGTTACTTTGGACGGATCACCGCCAAACTTTTCTATGTTATGTTTAATCCATTCTAGACCAAGAATGAAATCTCTCAAGCCATTGTTACCCTTAATTACACCGTCTTCAGTAGTTAGGTAACCGAGAATGGCTAGACGATGGCTGATGGTGACTACAACGACTCCATCTTCTATTAGGAAGTCAGGGGAGTAAGTCTCAGTTCCATTGAACCATGTTCTAAATTGATCATTATAGTCAAAAACTATTACTGGAGCGTTTCCTTTCACGTCTGGTGTAAAGACGCTAACATAGAGACAGTCTTCAGATCCTGATATTCCAAAGGGTTCCTTGTTCCTCATTCGGGAACTGAACTGCATGCAGGTTGGCTTATTTTCAAAAGCCTCCAAGTTACCGCTCCAACCATCATGAGGTTTTGGTGGCTGAAATTTTAACAAGTTACAAATTACTTTCAATTATATTGTACTATATGTAGTGCACATTCTGAAATAATCTTAATAAAAATTAACAAGAGAAACGTTAAAAAGAAAAGTAAATAATGTTCTACTCATTTAATAAAATAAAATATAATATTTTACTAAAGTAAATACAACAAATAATATTTTCGAAAAAAACACAATATTTTTATATAAGTAAGCTAGCCATAAGTCTGCTATAAAGTCAATTGGTAATTCTAATTGCAAGCGTTTCCCTTTCAAATTCTAAGCGATACATAATAAATCTAAAAGTATCATTGATTATGCAAAATGTTTTCACGGGTTTGGTTACCCCAAATACTCTGGCAGTACCCTTGCTTACCTGGAATCTCAATTCCCCAACGGGTGTTTCCGCAAAAGGTATTCCTTTGAAAGTATAAAAATCTTGCTTTTTATATAAAGTTTTCTCAACTTTTCCAACAACTACACCTTGTTTTAAACTAACTTCTATAGTTTCTTCACAAATGCATTGTTTTATTGTAAAAACACAGAGAAGTAACGTTAACGTTCTCATTTTTAATTATAAATTTAATTTATTATTGAGTTTTAATACTAGCACATGTTAGATAATGATAGCGACTAGTTTACTCGGCTTGATAACACAAGGTGTACGTGTTCATTGTATTATCTTTCGCCGATAAATTAATTATCCAAAATCCATTTCGGATTTCCCGTTAAACCATCTAATCAGCTCTTGGAAAATAGGTGGTTATTTTGAGTTAGATGTAGGCACATTACGTGTACTCAAATTGTTATTTTTAAAACAATTGTATTTATTTTGTAACCCATATTTTTCAATGTGACAGAGACCTATTTTAACATTTTTTTGTTTGGTGAACTTGATTTAATTTAAGTAATTTAATATTATTTTAAAAGGTAGTGACAGCCCTCTTTGTAACGCTTGAAAAAGGCCGTTAAGCTGTGCCTGTTATTTTTATTTAAGGTCCTACCTTAACTTGTACCTACCTTAACATGCAAATAAAGAATTTGAATTTGAATTTAATATGCTTCGTACGAATGGATTCACAGAAAAACCGGCGTGCAACAAATACAGCGTTGTGCTTCGCCGCCTGTCCTTCTCTTTCCCCCATCCTTAAACCCCCATACCAAAAGGTCGGCAACATAATTCTGCAACTCCTCTGGTGTTGCGGGTGTAGCCAATGGCGGGGCCGACTGCTTATCATTAGGTAATCCGACGACTCGTTTATCGCCGTATCACATAAAAACACATGTTAAGTATATTTTAGAAGACGGTTAATGTTTTACATAAGACTAGGTACAATCGTCGATTATGATATATTAAAAACGTGGATTTCAGATCCACATGAGGCTTGTCGCTTGAAACTACTTGTCTTAAATTATTACATTAATAATTATTATGGTTATTTGATGTAATATATTATCACGTTACTTGGCTTTAAGTCTTTCTAAAATGTATAAATTTTATTTATTATTATTTTTTACTTTTAATGTTATAATTATGTTGATTAAGCCCAAGCCAGTTATTTTAAATATAGAGCACAAAGATCTTTTGATTTCAAAAAAGGATGAACTTCTCAATTCGACCTATTTTTTTTGTTGATATTAATTTAGTTATTTGGTCATGGGCGTCGAACCCAATTTTTAAATATACAACAAGAAAGTAAATAAAACTCCTTCGTTGATATTTAATTTTATTTAGTTATACGGTCATGGCCATTTTCATGAATACCTTTTGTTTTTAATCTACATTTATTTACAGGTTTTTTTTTCTCATAAACACCTTATATTTAACAACTGTATTGAATACATAGTGTTAACAAATGAAATTTGAATAAATTATAATTAATAAAAGACTTAAAATAATTTAATTCAAAATAATTTATACAGATTCTGTAAATTAAAGTTCATCTTTGTCATCCTTGATGACTCCGTCTACAGCCAGAGCTTTGTATTTGGCTAGGAAGTCATCCCAGAATTTTATCCTATCAGCATGAAGGTTCTTTTTCATTTGCAATTCGTCGCTGATGACTAGACAATCCTTGTCTTCCTTACTGGCTGGAGTCCAGACAAAGTCACTGCCTGCGGGGGTAGGGTTACTGAAAATAAAGAAAAGTGTACTTAGATACGATATTTTTTTTATAAAGAGTTTCTCAGAACGCATGCAATTTATTGTTTTAAAATAATTTTCACGTAGATTACATTTCGAAACTAAGTACTGGGAATTTCATAATTGATCTATTTAGATATTTAAATGTTTCTATTGAGATAAAAATAAAGTATTAATTTGTCTGTAATTAAATTGTTATGGATTTAAATAGTGTGTTTTCCAAATATTTATCTAATAATATAATTTTATTAGTGTGATAAGATCCAAAAAGAAGCGACAATAAACATAATATATTATTGATTAATCGAACTTTTTGTTGTCTTTTTAAAACTTACCCAGATTTCGCAAAATTGGTCCACAGTTTAACCATGTTCCTAATCACTTTGAGTTCTTCAGAATCTTCATCTTCCAAGATTTTTTTGTACAACTTGCTAATTGGTTTACAAACGAACAGATAACAGAGTTCATCTCCTGTAGCGGCACCCCATGTTCCTTCCATTGTAACTGCTTCCTCCATAACATTATTCTTTCTCATGTTAAGTTCTCCACTGTAGTCGAACGTGTAATAATAAACAGGGGAGCTGGATTCATTCACATATTTCCTCAAAGCATAATCTATAGGATACAAAACCATCACATCTGCAACGTACGTCAAGTATTCTCCAGGCTTACTTATCTTTACATAAGCTTCATCAAAATAGAATTCTTTAATCTCTTCAATGGCTTTACGGTAACTATTCGTGTTTAATTGAAAATGATAATCGACTTTAATTGGGAACACCATCAAGAAATCTCTATCAGCAAACGTCAAGTACTGAGGTTTACGTAAGAAACGTTCGTTGATTTCAATACCTTCTCTGGAATTGTAACCAATCATTACTGGAATGTCAATGTCGATTTTACTGTTTTCTGGACGACTAGTGATAATAGCTTCAGGGTGGTCTGGTTCAACGACTGGTCCGAAAGGCACAGATCCTGATTGAATTCTTCTTCCCTCGTCAGCATCAACTGACATGGAATCAGCAGTTGCGATTTCTATTGAAGATATAGATGATAATTCTTCGAGCAAATTTGTGCTGGTCACAGCTGTTCTTTCAAGTTGCTTAGCTAATGCTGTTGCTTTATCCACAGGGTTTGGTGGCATGTGAACTGGATTCCATGCTGTTCCACTCTGTAGAATTGCTTTACTAAACAAACCCTTTGCTTTGGGTGATAAGAGTAAAAGATCAACCATAGCTGCTCCCCCATCGACTCCCATTAAAGTAATACTGTATGGGTCGCCACCAAATTTGTGAATATTTTGTTGCAGCCATTTTAAAGCCATTATTACATCTCTGAAACCGTTGTTTCCAGGTAACTTTTCGTCATTGAAAGCTAAAAATCCGAAGGCTCCAACTCTGTGTTGTATTGAGACGAGAATTACTCCTTCTTTGACGAAGAAGTCTGGACCGTATTCCCTGGATGCGTTGTGGGAGACCTTGAAGTGTTCATTGTACAGGAACACAACGACTGGCATGCTTAACTCCTCATTGCTTGGCAGTTTTGGAGTGTAGATACTCAGAGTCAAGCAGTCATCTTGACCGCAGAAGCCATGTTTTTTCAATGGTCTCATTGGCAAATTCATTTGAGAGCATGTTTTTCTTTCTTTTTTGGCGTCTAGTACATCGGTCCATCCTTCGTGTGGCTCTGGAGCCTGAAACAGTGAATTATTTTAAAAGAGTTACATAAAAAGTTCTTTTGAAATGAAAAAAAAAGGTTTTATTGTATATTGAAAATTGTAAGTCGTTTATTATTTGCTTGGAAGTATGAGAATGAACCAAGTTTCGATGTTAATATCGGAAAACAAAATAGTGAGAGAATAGCCAGCGGAGCGGCGTCTGTGAATACTATTATAACTTTCCAGATATGGCCTCAACCAACACCAACTTTTAATATAGACGAGCATAGTTAGCAGATGCAGGTTTACTTGGTAATATTGTAATTTAATTCAGTTGATGCTGTAACTTTTCATGTGTAGACCATGTTTCAAAATTGTAAAACAAAGTTTACGTATTATCCTTATTTAAAAAGCAACCACTTACCAAAAATCTGTGTTTTCCAAGCGGCGGTTTGGCATAAGGTATTCCCATAAACGAATAGTATTTTTCATTTTTCAGTATGGATTTGACTTCAACTCCAGCGACTTTACCTAGAGTAGTATCAACTATGATATCAGCTTGAATTGTATTAATAAAAAGTAATACTAAAATCACTAAATACGGTCCGATGGCTTCCATTGTGGTTATGTTTTGTTAACAATTTGTTTGTTCACAATCACACATGTTACAACTGACGTGTCCTATAGATAAATTATTGTTAATCTTGGGTTTAACTGAATTATTATCTAGTGTACGATAAGTAGGTCTTAAGTACTTTACTCGCTATCAGATTTCTGTCGCTACTGGAAATATTGTGTGACATTTTTTTAAATTTTATGGTTGGGGAAAAGATATTTTAAGTTATAAAACTAATACTACAAAATTGAATCGAATTAATGTTTGTGGAGCAGTTCCACAAACATTAATTCTAATTAACTTATTAGATTTTGTAGTATTTTTTGTTGTCTCTTATGTTTTATGTCCTATTACCCATTGCAGTATTATAATTCGAGACGAACCTGTTGAAAAATGTTGAGGTCAAGTATTATTTAGGCTTCGGCTCTGGAGCTGGAGAAGGAACGGGGTGGTTTTTAGTCAGTAATAGTCTGACACACCCTGGGCGACAGTAGTCATTTGATGATGTTTCCTTAAAAAAGTATTATTTAGTTGTATTCTAGAGCTGTTACCTTGGTCGGTCTGAATTTACAACTTGGTCGGTCTCACACATTAATGTTAAAATAAAGCAATCAATTGTCAAGATCTCTTCCACAAGATAATCCATTTTTTATTTACCTAGCCACTCAAGCAGTTAGCGAACGAGCAGGCGGATTACGGGTCAGCAATCGACACCGTCGATGATATTCGAACAACGTCAGAGAAGTTACGAGTGCGTTGACAGCCTTTCTTTTGGGGATTAGGTTTTCGGAAATCTAGGGAATGGGTTTTCGGAAATCTAGGGATTGGGGAGGAATTGGGGTAAATTCACTCGGCGATATACAACGCTGCGGATGTTTCACGCTGATTAGTTAGTAATCAACATACATACGAATTCTTTCAAATAATCTGTTGGTATTTTTAATAATATCCAATTTTCATAGGTGTTTTTTAATTGAGACTGTTGTACTACAGGATGCAGACATCTTATCATATACTTAAAGTACGGCCAAAGTGCAGGTTTCCGCTTCCGAAAGATTAAATTACAATTATAGATTGTTAAGGTATTTCAAAATTACGTCAGATTAAATGTATGTTAGCTTGAAAATGACAAATCTCTTGTCTCCCTCGTTTAAGAAAAAAAGTTGCCAACACTAGGATTTTCTCCTGTGTCGTAGGTGCGTTTACCAACATACAATTTCGTGTAGGTACACATTACACCCAGACTCAGAAAAACCATTTGTAGATCACCCAAAGAGTTGTTCCGTGCAGGTTCGATTCCCGCACGGAACAACTCTGTGTTAGCCGCTTTAATAATTTATTTAGATTAATAATTTATATATAATTTTCTAAATATAACTTTAGCTTATTTTAGACACTAACTACACCTACATACCACATTCCTCTTTCTATTTACATTTTTGTAAGAACAGCAAAGCTTTGGAATGATCTTCTGGCGGCGGTATTAGAGAAGCGATACGACCTTCATACCTTCAAGAAACGAGCGTACTCCTTCTTAAAAGGCCGGCAATGCACCTGTGACTCCTCTGGTGTTGCAGGTGTCCATGGGCGGCGCCGATCGCTTACCATCAGGTGATCCGTCTGCTCGTTTGCCTCCTATTCCATAAAAAAACCTTGTATGTAAATACTTTTTCATCTTTACATATATGAACATTAGAACTTGATAATTCATTTAACACAAAACATGCTTGACAAATGAAGAGCGACTTCTTACTTTGCTAATACTCTTTCCATGACATATTTAATTTCACACATTCGTTCATCAAACTCTAAGTACAACAAGATACTGAACATTCAAAATTTTACGTAAAATATCTTTTCCTTTTATCTTTATCTTTTTATAACGATCTTATTAGTATTTTATATTTCTGAAATGATATTCGTTCCTTCAATTTCCGCTTTAATGATTTGCTGTGAGGATCAAAGGGAGTGGATACACCATGACGATGCTTTGAAATCCGAACAAATTATTTGGGGGGAGGGGGGAGGTTTTTTAATTTTATGGCATTTGATGTTAGTTCTGAATGCGACAGCAAGTCAAGAATGTTTTGGCTTGGCTACGGTTTTTTGAAAATTCTCAGTAAATGGAGTTTGGGATTTTACCTGGAAAGTAGACTCAATAAGGGTTGAATTACGTTCTGTTGATTCGAAGAATTTATGAAATCATTAGTGAAAAAGAAGTGCATACATCACCTACCCTCCGGACCGGGTTGATTTTTAGTCGGTAAGACCTTAACAAAGTCAAAGTCAAAATCATTTATTCCAACTAAACCATAAATAGGTACATTTGAAACGTCAAAATGGAACGAATAAAAAAAAAGAAGCATTAAGACAAAAAAACATTTTACTCCATTAACTTATTTTTTATTGTTAAAAGGAGGCAAATGAGAGTTACGATTTGGATGTATTCTTAATGGTGAGCAATCAGCACCGCCAAAGAACACACCATCAGAGGTTTACAAACACAAATACAGCGTTGCCTTTACGAAGGAGTTCCAATTCTCTTTCTTAAATCTTTGACTGCCAATGAAAACTATTAAAGGCTAATCCTCCGCTAGTGTCGGACATTATTATCCAAAATGGCGTTCAATACTTTATACTAATATTATAAAGAGGTAAAATTTGTAAGTTTGTATGTAGGGGGTAATCTTTGGAACCGCTGGTCGGAATTCCAAAATTCTTTCACTGATAGATAGTTACAATGTCCCTGAGTGCTACAGGCTATTAAAAATTACGCTACGATTAAATGGAGACGAGCAGCGGGTGAAACCGCGCTAGAGTAGCTAATGTGTAGAACCTTCAAAAGCGCTTCAGTATCAATAAGTAACACTCAACTATATTTGCATTTAAGTATTTACTACCAAGGAATTGAGGCGAGGATTGGGTCACGTACGGCAGTTTACTTGAACCAATCGTAAAACACTAGTGCACCGTTAAACTGCTCCTCTATATGAATATGTAAGTTTAACTGTTTATATTAGAGTTATTGAAGTAAGAAATTACTGTGGTTATCTGGTTCTCGCTTGCAAATGTTGTCATTAACAACCGTGAGATGAGATTTTTTGAGTGTTTCAATTTTAAATTGAAAGAAAGAACAAAATGTTCTTATTCGACACTAGCTACTCTCGCGCGGTATCACCCGCTGCTGGGCACCATTTGATCGTAGCGTGATGTTTCACACAGAAGGTAATATTTGGCTGGTCGGATTGCTAAAATTCTTTTGATGGATAGCTACAATGTTCCTGAGTGCTTATAGGCTATAAAACATCACAGTACGATCAAATGGAGCCGAGCAGTGGCTGAAACCGCACGAGAGAGTTATACCTATAAAAATATAATAAACCCATAAAAATATACAAAAAAAGAAAATTCAGAAAGAACAAAAGATGGGCAAAACTGATAATGAATAGCAAAAAGCTAGCATTCACATTAAATTTCAATTTGGCGAGGGTCTTTAGATGAAAGGGATTGTCTAAAAGAGATTATCGATATGGTTTTGAATGCAATGGTATCGTGGCCAGAGGTTTGTGGTTTCCAGCTTACCGAGTTTCCAATAAAGTTAATGAAGTGGAAAGAATCGAGATCGACCGACCAATATTGATTAAAAAGTGAACGTTGATTTTACACTCTATTGCTGTAGAGATAGATACGAGGGTTTTGGATTAGATTTCACTAAATCATCAGCATCATCATCATCAGCCTATAAGTGCCCACTGCTGAGCAAAGGCCTCTTCTCATACGGAGAAGGTTGCGCTTGCTCAATGCGGGTTGGCGATTTCAAACTCCAGGTTTCCTCACGATGTTTTCCTTCACCGTATGTCAGTGGTGTCTAAATAATCATAGAAAGTACATATAACTCAGAAAAAGTCTAAATAAACCTTACATTTTATTATATAGACGTCTCCTGGCATGTAAAACAAAATCACACTGCCTTTCTTAAACTCTGTCCCACACTAGGATTATCTCCTGTGTCGTGAGTGCGTTTACAAACATACAATTTTACAAACACAGAGTGCCCAGATATAACAATTTGTGGATAACATAAAGAGTTGTTTCGGGCGGCAATCAAAACCGCGACACGTTGCATGTCATCCGATTGCCCAGCGATCGCGTCAATGGTGCAGTAAGTAATTTATATACATTTAGTTTGATGAATTTCTATTGGTCTGAAAGCAATTGAGTTGTTTTTCTCTATCAATTTTTTATGTATTTTATACATGAACCATTTGTTCCAATTTTAGAATATTTTGGTATTAAGCTACGTTAGTGTCAACCTGTAACTGCTGCAGGCGATATACTTAATACTACAGAACGTTCGTTGTTAAGTTTTCGGGTAAAAAATCCAAGATACATTTCCAGTAATTTGAAGGTATTATTTTTCACTTATGACAAATTGCAAATACAAATAATAGTCGAGTAAAGTAAACCAAATATAATTTAACATTCTATTTATAATATAACATTCATAATTCATCCTTTTTGTTAATTGATTCACTAATGACTCCATTAACAGCCATCGGCCCCCATTTGTCAATAAATTGATCCCAGAATTCATATCTTTTCTTATTAAGATCTTGTTTGATTTGCATGTGTTTGTCTATGTGAAGATATTCTTTCTTTGTCACTGTGTATGCAGGCCATTTGAGTCCCAGATCTTCGTCTTCTTCAGGTGTTGGGTTCCTGTAATATAATTAGAAAGATTAAATTAATATTTAGGTAATATTTTTAGGTATACAATGAGTTCGTGATGGCCCGGCGATTTAAAGTTCCTACTTTTCATGTATAGGGTGTGAGACTTGGCAAATATAAAAGTTTGACGTGACTTCCCAGCTACCACCACCTCAATGTATATATTGATAATGATATATATTATAAAGGTTATATTTTTTATGATATGTTACATATATTTTTTTGTTTTGTTTCGCATTTAGTTTGTGTAAGTTTGTGTAATTGTATTTGAGCTTTTTTGGTTTATTTTGTTTTGTCTTTGAGCACTGTACCTTGTGATTAAATTGATTTTCCT